GCCGTGCCGTCACAGCTCTCTCCGCCCATCTGTTGACATTCGGGCTGAATGTAATTTTGCAGCGAGTTTTCGTCGGGTTCGGGTGGTCGTCATGCGGCGGGACTTTTTTTATTTCGGCGGGGTCGTGCATCGTGATTGACGCTGGATTACATCAATGGAGCCATTTTTTTTTTAATTAAAGGAATAGTCAAAAATGTAGTCTTTGTTTTTTTTCTCAATTTTCAATCTAAAAGTCTGGACTTTTTACTAACTATTTGATTTAACCCTTTAGTAAATGGGTAGGGGTACAAGTACCCCTTACTCATTCACAAGGGGGGGCGGCATCTGGGTGCCCCCTTATTTAAAGGGGTACCCCGATGCAAATAAGCCCCCTTGCTCGCAGACCCCCACAACCACCGGACCAGGGTTGTGAGGAAGAGGCCCTTGTCCCCATCGGCACGGGGACACCCTCCCAATGCCGAGGGCACATGGCCTGGTAAGGCGCAGGGAGGGGGCGCAGGGAGTGCCGTCCAGCATTTAATGACCCGCCTCCCGGCTTTCTGATTGGTCAGGAAGCCAGGCTGCTTAACAACACATGGAGCCGGGTTCCTAGTCAATCCGGAAGCCGGGAGGAGGGTCATAACCCACCGCCCGGCTTCCTGATTGGAAAGGAAGCCGCCTTCATGCTCCCTCGGCACTGCCGGTCAGAGGGAGATCAGACCAGAAGTTTTGGCATCAAAGGTAAGTATCGGAGCATTTGGGCGAGTACGGGTACTTGCCCAAATACTCAGTATTGGTGCATGCCTAATAAAAATAACTGTAAAAGTTTACATTTGTAACAAGTAATAGTGTATTATGTGCTGTGTTGGATCAGAGGACAGAATGTCCTTGTCAGTCATGAATCACGGAACGTGAGGATCAAGAGAACGTGCATCAATATAGCTACAGTTTCTTTATAAGTCTAGAAAATAGTTATACACCATCTTATTAGTCTGTTCTTTCTTGACTCTAACAATTGAAAAGGCATATATTCAACAATGCAATCCTAAAAATGAAAGTATACATACCAGATAATATAAGAAGCTCAATTATCTCTACATCACCCAAGAATGCTGCTGCATGGAGAGGTGTGCGTTTTTCATTATCCTGCAAAACATGATCCTATGTTACTGTGTTTAATATAAATTAAAATTGAATCTAACTTTTTGCCTTCATTCTTATTTTTTAATTTCTCAATGGTAAGTGTAAACCCTTAAATAAGTATGCTTTAAGTAAAACTTTAACCATTTTTTATATATTTAAATGGAGTGGGAAGAGTCTAAAACCAAACCTCTGTTTGCTGTAAATTGCTGTTTATGTCAGTAATGGGGAGATTTCCCACCAATGCCTGCCTACCAAATCTAATGTCACCTGCAATATACAGGTGAAACTCGAATAATTAGAATATCGTGCAAAGTTCATTTATTTCACTAATGCAACTTAAAAGGTGAAACTAATATATGAGATAGACTCATTACATGCAAAGCAAGATAGTTCAAGCCGTGATTTGTCATAATTGTGATGATTATGGCTTACAGCTCAAGAAAACCCCAAGAACCCCAAATCCACAACCTCAGAAAAGTAGATTATTACATGCAATCAATAAAACAAGGATTGTACATAGAACAATATCGGACCTCTGAAAAGTACAAGCATGCATATGTACTCAGTACTTGGTTTGGGCCCCTTTTGCAGTACTTACTGCAATTACTTTTGCACAATATTCTAATTATTCGAGTTTCACCTGTATAGCTGTATTTCACTGGCTCAATCAATTAACTTAAATGTGGGAGTAGATACCCCATTGCTAAGAGTAAATTGTGGCATCTTTAAGTGGGCACAATGCAGCTACTTACAGCCACCCACTGTTCACATCCCTACCATAATTTTATTCTTCACACTTTATTGCAGAGACCAGCACATATTCTGCTCTTTGAGGTGTGTAAATGCTGACCCACAATCTCTTTTCACAAGGGAAGGCAACAGTCCATGGATGAGTAAATTGCAGCAAATCTGATGAATTAAAGGCTTAATTGCATGTGTTTATTCTTCATAGCCTTCTAGGTTTCCCAGTAAGCATGTCTCATCAAACATTGCTGATGCTGTGGGATGACATTACAACTGCTCAGTACACTGTTATCATCTCCAATGGCATACAGAGCTGCACAGGCAAGCAGCTTGTTCCTCTCCTAGCCTCAAGTGACTGCAGATATACAATACTTTATATTCTTTATGACCTGTGATGTCACTTTCAAAGAATGCATGGGACCATATTTATGCAGTCTTTGTCTTTGCAGTCACCCCATATGGAAGGATCTTCAGGGTGGTATCCTTATATCGCAGGCTCCTTAGAGCTGTCTCTCCATATGGTAAGCTCTCCAGGGCTGTCTCTTATCATGGCAGGATCTTTCTAACACAGTCTCCCCATATGCCAAGCTATCCAGGGGAGTCTCTCCATATGGCATGCTCTCCAAGGTAGTCTCTCCACATGGCAGGCTCTCCAGTAAAGTCTTCCTATATGGCAAGCTGTTCTCCAACGTAGTCTCTCCATATGGCAGGCTTTCCAGTGCAGTCTTCCCACATGGTAGGCCTCCCAATGAAGTCTTCCCATATGGCAGGCTCTTCAGTGCAATCTTTCCATATGGCAGGCTCTTCAGTACAGTCTTCCCATATGGCATGCTATTCAGTGCAGTCTTCCCATATGGCAGGCTCTTCAGTGCAGTCCTCCCATATGGCAGGCTCTTCAGTGCAGTCTTCCCATATGGCAGGCTCTTCGGTGCAGTCTTCCCATATGGCAGGCTCTCCAGTGCAGTCTTCCCATATGGCAGCCTTTACAGTATAGCCCCTCCATAAAGCAGGCTCTCTAGTGCAGTTACCCTATACAGGCTTTCAAGGGAAGACTTTCCATGTGGCATGTTCTATAGTAGTGTCTTAAACTTATCTTCTGTGACACAGTTCAGCAATGACTGAATCTTAATATCTTAATTTAGTTGTGGCCCACAATTAGTAGTGCACAGTAAGGGAAAAGGATATGGGTTTTTTTTTCTCAACATTTTTGCAAACATGAAAAAACTAGCTGAAACTGTGATCGGGAGCTGAGATTAAAGCAAAACGAGGTGAAAAGATACACAGACTCAGTACTGTATATCCTGAGGGAGTTTATTCAGACCTAGATTTGTGTCTGTTACTATCATGATGAAGTGTTTAGATTTTTATGTACATTTTTTACCTGAACAAAATTACAAAATACACAAAGCTTTGCTTGCTAACAGTATATCAACTGGAGATGTGAACTCTCATGTTTGTTTATATTATCTCTTTGATTTGTGCCGATGAATTAAAAACTGCTGCAGTTGACCAATTCCTTTGTGACAAATATGTTAATTTAGTTACAATCCTTGTTGTTACTTGTACATTAAAAACAGCTTTAGAGAATATCTCGATATATTCTCACTGATGACCCAATTGGTCATAAAGCATGATGTAGGGCTGATTTTAGCCGATGTACAGCTGAAATCAGCCGTACAAGACTGAAGTGAATAGCCAAACAGTGTTCGGCTCACTTTACTTCGGCTGGGTTATTCACTCGGCTGCCTTCAGCAGCTTTGTGAATAACCCCCTTAATGTATGCTTTTGGGTTTAGATATGCTTTAAGTTCTCATTCAATACATAACAATGGATCTGCTCTTGGTTTTAAAAAGAGCAATGTTTACGTCTGAATCTGTCACCTACAATTTTCATTTTATCTGTATTCAATAAATACAATTTTGAGTTCTGCAACTCTGATTCTTAATTTGTACATATTGAGCTATTTCCGAGTTGAGCATTGGTTGACCATACACCCAAACACACACTAATATATGGATACCACGTACACTGCAAAGACTATCTAAGGGTCTGCAAAACATTTTGTTACTGTACTGTTAAGTTCGATCTATAATTGAATTTTATCGGTAGAGCTGTAGGACAACTAAACTGCGATATAGATAACATTTTCCCTGCTGTAAAACCTATGGAGATTAGTATGTATAGAAGAGTTCCGTTACCATATAAATGCAAGACATTACAAGGCACATCTATAAAGGCCATTGACCCCCAAGAACGTTCCATCCATTTCAGGTAAAAGATCATAAAAGTGAGTGGAGTTTTGCCTGTGGACTGCGTGCCTTACTGTAACATCTGTTGGGGTTACACCAAGAGAAAGCAAGCCTTTATTTCATATTTTAAAGAGATTACTGTATTAAAAAGGTTATATTATGCCACTGTCTCCTAGAGGCCACAATTTTGCATCACTGGGAACAAACATTTTTTTTAATCCCTAGCCTGATGAGCCCACATACTCAACAAAATGATGGTTATGAAGTTATTTGTAGCAGAACACAACAGATGCAACAACACTTTCATCACATAGTTATGCTAGATTGCCCCTAGAGAATCCTATACTTTCAAAAGTCTACTAAATATAGTTCCCATGGCATTCAAGTGACAAAGCCAAGATAGCATCTCTAGCATATGTTAGGAATAGGTCTCACGTGCTGGACAAGACAGGACGCTATATGTTTAATACCCTGTTTCCCCGAAAATAAGACCTACCCCAATAATAAGACCTAGTACTATTTTTGTGAATTGCGAAAATATAAGACCTACCCCGAAAATAAGACCTAGTTGTGACCATTCCCAGGGCTGGTGGTGGCATAAGGGGGAACTTGAGGAGCCGCGGAAGAGGCAGGAGAGAATCGGCGATGCCAACGAAGCCAGTGCTAGAGGAAGTGAGGCAGCAGCGGAGGGAGCAGAGCCGCATAAGACGATGCCTCCTCTATAGCGCCGGCCCCTGTCACAGGCGGAGTGATACCAAATGCACTCCGCCTGTGAGGAATCTATAGTGAAAGCGCGCTTCGCTCATTCTGGCCAGCGATTGGTTACCAATTTTCTCTTGGAAAGGTACGGCATCACTGATTGCCTGATTGCCCTGATCACCCTATAAATAATCTCTGTAATTTTGGATTATTTAATTTGGATTTGCATTAATTTTGGATTATTCTACATTAAAATAAAAAATAAGACCTACCCCAAAAATAAGACCTAGTGTGTTTTGTTGAGCCAAAAAAAATATAAGACAGTGTCTTATTTTCGGGGAAACACGGGTATGTGTTTTAAGCCCAATGGGAAAAGTCTTAGGGAAAAAATGAACTTGCATGATTCTGTTTTATATGTTCTGTAAAAATTCCTATGCTCCTTGGCTTCAACTAGTGGCCATAATGCTGTGAATCTAAAATACAGACTTTGGCAGAGCTAATCGCTCTGCAAATGTTTTAGAAAAACACCCCATAATGCACAAAATATAAATGGTTCTTATGACACACAATGAATAATTGTATTTTGTAGACCTGTGTTTTTTTTTTTACAAGTGTGTTTTCTACAACAAGTTCTTACCACAGCATTCACATCTTCTGATTTATAAATCAACATACGTATTTCATCAGGGTCTCCACTGAAGATTGCTTGGATGAGGGGAGGCTAAAGCAAGGATAGAATAAAAACAATTAATGAAGTGACCTCAAGAAAAATATGTCAGACTATAAAATGCAACAATACATCATTTTGGTTTAGGCGCTCGAATAAAGCTGTTTTACTCATCTGATCCTGGTACCCATGGTGGTCAGTGCTCACCTCTCTCCCCCTCCACTCCGGCTACAGAATGTCCCACGGTGTCCTCACATGTAAGGGCTGGTTCACACCAAGCGCGTTCCAGGAGCAGGGCAGAGCAGTTACAGAACGGATAAAAACTGCGTCCAATGTATTCCAATAGTATTTTGGGCTCTAGTTCACACCGCAGCGTTCAGTTCCAGAGCATGTAAAAAACCTGCAGCAAGCCTTATTTTTCATGCTCTGGAATGCATGCAAACACATCAAAAACGCATGCAAATGCCCTGGAGCGCACCGAAAGTCCATTTTAGGCAAAAAAAAAAATCTGGCCCGGTACACGTCAAAACACACTGCACTGTGTGTACAGAAACTCATGCAGATCTGGTCCGCACTTGGTGTGAACAAGCCCTAATGCATGTCAATGGACCTGAATGACATGTGATGACGTTAACGGTCCTTAGACCGCCAGTGCCCAGCCCGGAGGGAGCCAGGATCAGGTAAGTAAATCTGCTTTATTGCAGCTCCTAGACCAAAACAAGCACTTAACCCTTTGCAGCGCAATGGTTAAGCCCAAATGCAAGCCTAACTTTTTTATTTTTTTGAAGTTGTTCTTTAAAGCTTTAATAAACTTTGATTTGGATTCCATGCTAAATGTAACTATTTATACCCCTAACTCAGTGGCCTAACCAGAGTTATGGGCGGCTGGGGCAGAATTTTTTTTGCCCCCCCTCCATTATATAAAAATCCACCGGAACTGTACCCCCCATCCCCCACCCCACGTGGTTGTTACATCACTGCCCTAGCTGCAGTGTTTACTCTAAACTTCACATGCTTAAATCACCTCTTTTTCCAGGAAAACCCCTGTGGTGTTAAGCTGTCCGTACACAGATCCCTCTTTCAGCCTCCCAGCTGGTTACTGGGTGCTGTAGAATTTAGATGTGCACTCTGCTGATGGTTGACTAGTTGCAGGCACACCTAAAGGGATGCCGGGGATGTGTTCTTTCACATGAAGTTCGAAACAATATGCTTGTTGGCAGAGAAAGCCATCAATAGCTGTTAAGGTGGGGCCAGCGATTGTTTGGAAGGTGGGCTTAAAATAGCTGCTGCAGCTTCAAAGGGTTATATTGCAGTGATGCAAGGTTGCAGTGAATTGGGAGTGATCAGTTTCAACTTAAGGTGTCCATACACCTTACAATTATCTGCAGATTTTCTGTGGTCAGATGGAAAAAGTGCAGCAGATTGGCCCAGGTGGAGAATACCCCATCCACACAGTTAAGTGTAGATGGAGGAATCTGTTGCACACTTTCCATCTGACCACAGAAAATCTGCAGATAATTGTAAGGTGTATGGCCAGCTTTAGGATAGGAGTTGCTACAAATGTAGAATAAATGTAAGCCTGACGTTCAGCAGCTTACAACATTTAATTGGATATAAAATAGGGGTTTCTTACCATGACATTTTACTCTGCAAATGGGAGCTGTACTCGATATACCAGCTGGATACTGTGACAATGCGGTTCAGTCAAAGTTACAATTTCCATTGTTTTGTTCAAACTATTTTCTTCAATGTAATGATAACCGCTAAACTACTATTTCTGTCTGCACTGTTACTAATATTATTTTACACTGATAGCAGTTATCACTTACGCAGATACACGGAAGCACTTTTTTCATGCATGGTATTTTTAATAGCTGTATAATATATGAAGCCTATTCCAGGTCCAATGCCATGGGGTTTACACAGGAGTATGCTGATATATTACAGTGATGCATCATTTCTTGTATCTTCTGTAAGCTCATGTACTATGTTTTGAGCTCAAGGAAGAGTATTTCTGTGAACACTTCCATGAACGGAATCTGTGTTGCATTATGTAAATGTAATTTCTATATATGATCAGTAAACTACTGTTGGGAGAATCCCCATTGCTGCACCCCCCCCCCCCCCCCCCCCCCCCCCCCCCCCCCGCCACCAGAGTGTGTCTCTTTTCT